AAAATGTGAAATGGATGTGAACCACACAAATTCTCCAAAAATGGTAAGTGAGAAGAATTTTTTGGGACGGCCCAAAAAGGAAAGTGGGAAGAATTTTATGGGACGGGGGGAGTATTAGACTGGCCTTATTAGGAAATATTGTAAAGTGTGCTATAGGGCCACCTAAATAAAGGAGCCCAATCATGCTTAGGTCACATCAACTAATTCCCTAGGCTTATAAATATAGCCTTAGAGGGAATGAGCCGTAAGCCTTTACAGAATATTCACGCACATGAGCGAATACATCTTAGAGAGAGAAGTGAGAAAGCCTTTTCGATACCCTTCTCTGTATTTCTCGATCATTTTCAGGTATTGAATATACGGTTCATTGCTTCTCTACTCAGTTCTTATATTTGATTGTTGGATTCAAAGGGACAAACAAAGATAGTTTTTGGTGGAATTGATCGGTTTTCTGTTAAGAGTAATTATAAAGCAATAACGGGGACCAGGAATGGCACACATTAGAATGGGTGGGATAGAATGTGGAAGCTTAACATAACGCCAAAAGTGAAGTTCTATTTTTGGCAGGTCATGGAGGGATGCCCCCCAATGACATCACTGCTACGTAGTAGGGGCGTTGTGGTGTCGGCAGAGTGCAGGTTATGCAGCGGGGAGGATGAAACAACATACCACGTGCTTCATCTCTGCCCGGCAACGCAAAGATTCTGGCAAGTAATTGGAGTGAACACGAGTAGCAGATTGTCAGGGATGGAAAGTTGGATAAAAGAACAATTGGAGTGAAAGGATGAAGAGAGCTGTTGTAAATTCATTCTGTTTCAGTATGTGGAAGAGGAGGAATGAGGCCGTTTGGAAGAATATCATCCAGGGGGAGTGCGGCGTGCGCAAGTGTGCAGAATCTACATTGCAAGGTTAGAGAGAGGCTCAGGTAAAAGGAGTGGGGCGAAGACACGCGGGCACTCATCAGAAGGATAAATGGAAGAGGCCGAGCTCAGGTTGGATCAAAATAAATATGGATGCCACAGTGAATGAAAGTGGAGGTCTTCGAGCTTGGGGATGGATAGGGCGAAACTCGCAAGGGGAAGTGGTGGGGTTTGGCGGTGAGCTCATGGCAACAGAGTGGATGCCGGCAGAAACGGAAGCAAGAGGAATCAGAGGAGCGATACTGATGCACTCAGGAAATGTTGGAGACAGGTAGAAATAGAATCAGATGCCCTACAAGTGATTCAAGCGGCTCAATAGGAAGGAGACCAGTCGTATATGGGGCTGGCGGTGGAAGACATTAGACTTCTACTTAAGGAATAAGGAGAATGGCAATTATACTTTGTCTTTTTGTCGGAGATCTGCAAATCGGGTTGCCCATGCTTTTGCTAGGTGTACTGTTTTAAGTCCAGATTGTAGGAGTATTCCAAATTCTTTACCTTTGAATGTACTAAGGCCAAGTGGCGAACAATTTACTTCTATGAATGAAAGTTTAGTTGATTATAAAAAATGTTATTACGTGGTACTCCCTCTGTGCCTTAAAACTTGACCAAGTTTAACCCACATGAGAAAAATTAAAGCAAAAACTGTGTGATTTGAGATCAATGCAGAGAAGAGAGAATAATTAGAACCACAAATTAATTGATTAAAATGGAAAATTACAAAGTTTTTGTGAAAACAAAAAAGAAATATGACAAAGCTATAAGATATATGTAGATATGTCGTTTTTGGGAAACCAATAAGTTTGTCATACTTATTACGTCCGCAAACCTTTATCATTCCATTCAAAGTTTTTTTGGGCAATTCTTTCTAACATATTATAGTATATGTTCTTTGTTAAGGCCAACAATCTTGAACTGTACCTGTGACATCCTCCTTGAGAGTGTCATAATGATGTCATCAGACCACAAAGTACTTAACTTCCATTCAAAATTATACTCCAAATATAGATACCTAACTAAAGTTATTTCACAAATATGAGGAATACAACTCTTACCTTTGTATTCCACATACAAATCATTTCTAACCATGTTTCCTAAGACGGCTGGATGGGTATGCTTTCCTCCATACATAAATGCCATTAATAGCAATTTTTCACTTTATAGCCATCCCATTGATCCAAAATGGTGGATTCTCTCACCCAAGAGCCCCAACCCCAACCCGACTGGATGGTGGGGAGTTTAATCACGATGACTCAGTCAGCAAAGTGACAGTAGACCCATACACCCGTGTGCACCAGAGGCCCAGCCTTATTTCAGGTTCTATGACCCCCACCCGGTCGCTGCGGGGATTCGAACCTTGTCCATCTATTGATCCCAATCCCCCACCACTCGACCAACTGAGCTACCTGTACGGGTACTTTATAGCCATTCCATACACTACATATACGACATAACAAGTTATAGAAATTGTTGATTACAAACATTTTAAAATTGCAAAATAGGATTTTCATGTTTTTATTCCGTAAATAAGAGTAATTTCTGCTAAGTTTGAAACTTTTATCAAGTTTTTTTCAAACTTGACATAAATTACTCTTATTTAGAAAATAAAAATATGACAATCCTATTTTGTCATCGATCAATCCCTAACCATAATTTCCTCATTATGCTATTATTTTATATCGTCACAACGTTTTGTGTATTCACGCAAGAGTAAAATGAAGGATATAGTTTGTTGTTACCAACACGTTTGCTCTGAAATATTCCGATTTGGGAGGTTGTGAATGGGAGGAAGTGGAGAATTTTGTAAGCCTTCCACTTTCACGCCTACCGGCTACCCCTATTTCCTTTAACCAAACACATACAAACCATTCAATTCCCTTCCCTCTCCTCCCCTCCCCTCCCCTCCAAAACCCTCCAACCAAACCGGGCTACTCCGTAAGACGGAGTTAACCAACATTTCTTAAATGCTACTACGTACTCCATAATAATCTCAAACTCAAATTAAAACGGAATGATTAGAGAGACAATAATAGGCCAACAGTGTGATGGAAAAGAACAGCATATAATTGCTGTGTATATGACATTTAGAGAACATCTGCTTCCATTAAAAAGAAAGCACAATCCATTATAGCATTTTTGACAACGTCAAAGAGCCTCATATTTGCTGTCGGGTAGTCATTTGATTCCCCTTATCCCATAGGAGAATCAAAACGTATCCCTTGGTTGATTCACCAATCACCCCGCCCCCCCCATCCCATAAAAAAGAGAGCAAATTTCCCTCATATCTTACTCACCCCTTTATCCTCTTTCAAAACATATCTTCCCACCCTATTTAACAAAAAATCTTCCCACCCTATCTTTTAAGGGGAAAATATGTTGCAAGGAAAAGTTTTGGACACTCTAAATCTTGATAAATTAAATGTAAAAAAAAATTAAAAAGTTTTTTCTAGAATATTAGAAAAATAAATCTTATACACAAAAAATTTGACTTAAGTGATTATAAGTTTCTTTTATAGTCATTGTGATGTAAAATTTAACCATAGTTTGAGTTAGTAAAAATTAATGTCACGCCTTCTCTTCACTATTCCTGTTTTGATTAGGTATTATTTCATTAACTTCATGATATACAATACTGGGCATCAAACTTCATGATTTAAAATGAGTCAAAGCCTCCTAAAGTATTACAAGCATTCATGTAATACCATTTAATGAAAAATTTATGTGTTGGAAAACTATATATTTTTATTGTTATTATTAAACATGAAAATAAATTTATCTAAATATTGATGCTTCCGTCCCGCTAAGATTGTCCATCTTTTCTTTTGATAAGATTGTCTCATATCAAATTTGATAAAATTTATATGTATCTAAATCATTCTTACTTTGTCAATTCAATATCAATTATATAATTTTTTTTAATAACCGCATCACTTCTTATATCACAATGTTAAACTTATTTTTCTTAATATCTGCATCACCTCTATATGACAATATTAGTGAGACAGAGGTAGTACTACATACTACATCCGTCCTAATGGACTTTGCACTCTTTGAATTAGGTGAAAAATAAGAATAATAAGAATTATGTGATTGAAGTTTGTGCAAAAGAGAGAATTGAACAGAACAACAAAATACTTACTGTAATAAGAAAATGATAAAAAAATTAGAAACGACTAAAAAAGAGAAAATTGATAAAGTCCAATAGAACGGAATACATTATAATCCTTTCAATCAACTCACTTTCCTTTGATGGATCTTTATGTCGGGGCAACCGGAAAGAGACATTTGAAGGAGGTGATGTGTTGGAATCCTAGTGGAACAAACTATGCACACTTTCACAAGAGTCATTTGTCCGCTTATCTATGCACTCACTTTCACAAAATGCACTTTGTGGCCCTCCTTATCAAATATTGTACCACTGGACAAAGCCGAAATAGACCAGAAAAGAAAAGAGAAACGTGAAAAAACACGTTTTCCCAAAAAAAAATCACCACTTTATAAGCGGAGAAATGCTTAGTAAAAGAGTGGAAAATTAGTACCGTTCACTTCCACTCTGAAGGTAAAGAAAAGGGGAGGGAAATTGGTTACTTCCAATGTTTCTTTAATTTATCTTTTTACTGTACTTTTATCTATCACACACTAAAGAGCCCGTTTGGTAGCACCAAAATCGGCTGATTTGACTGATTCTGCTGAAATTTATGAAGTTCTGGCTTAAGTGGCCGCGTTGGCTGATTCTGCTAATTTATGAAAACAAAAAATTAAAATATACTCCGTATTTATTAATAAAATCAAGAAAAAAATATATGTAAAAATAGCTAAAATGGTCATCTACAGTAACTTCATCAAATACAGTAAAAAAAGTAACTTCAACCTTACTTTTTCTGTTTATTACACAATTAGCGCGCAAAAACAAAAGTTACGTGTTTGTTGAAAAAGCCGAAAAACAGTGTTACCAAACGGCCTCTAATTCAAATTATATACTCGTACTTTATGTTTCCACCCTATTTGTATCTAACCAAACAAACTGCTTCTGATATTAACCAATTCCAATTTCAGGACGAAATAATTACTTCCACAATTTTGACATATATACCTTAAATACACATCTTTATACTTGAAAGTTGAAACATTAGAATCAGCTCCAATGAGCTAAAACACCCTATATTATATTTTTGAAAGAAAAAGAACTAAATGGCCACAAGGCCTATAAGAGAGTACGACAAACATGATCATAGAATGAGGTATTTTAAAACATGATTTTAAGTTGTACACATGTCAAAAAGTATTAGATGACAAAACTATGATTGTCTTGCACTCTTGCATCTCAGTCTACAAGAATACACGAATAAATTTGTAGCAACGCAACTTTTTTTATAGTTTCATTCTTCTGCATCTTCAGAAATACCTTCCAGCAGCAAGTACTGAAGAGATACTGAATATTTCGCTGTTTTTGATCCACTTGATTTGTCAACGCCAAATTTGCAGCTCCTCCTAAGGAAAAATGACCCAAATCCACCCCCTGATAAAGAAATAAAGAATTCTGTAGCACATTCTGTAATACAATAAAGCCAGCTTTGGATATACGAGAGGTTTGGAGAGCTGAGCATATATCTAAATATAAGTTTGATACGGGGTATTTTATAAAAGTCAGAAGAAATGACATGATAGGTCATTCTTCATCATGTAATGTTTAAATCACCATTTATTCAATTTAAGAAACATTGCATTTAACAATAAAAAAAGAAACTTTATATTTATTAAAAAAACTACCCCCATTTAAAATGAGTTCTCAAAATTATTATCTTGCCGTCAATCCAGTTCTCTTTTATAAATTCAATGTACCAAATTCTTGTCATATTCAAATTCACTTTTTGCAGTTCAGTAGAACTTTTAGTTTATATTCTTAATATGTAACCTTTAATTACTAACAACAGTTTATATGCTAACTTGCTAAGATTGCTAACTGGGAAGAATTAGTTTTATGATCAGTCAAACATTTTAATATGGAGAGAGTGCCAGAGTATACACCATGTCTTCCAAAGTCTTCTTCTCTAAGAGAGTAAGAGACTCACAACCCCTTCATACAACCATTTCCGGTAAGGAAGATTCTTTAGAATTTTGGAGGTTCTTGGAGGGGAGGGCTAGTTTACAACTTTATAAATAGAGTAAGATCTTACGTACAGTCTAAGCCCTAAAATCTTCCCCTGCAAAACCCTTCCATCCAAACAAAGCCTAATAAAAAGCTACATTTGGATCCTATGAAGTAACTCCACAATAGAGTTACTCCAAGGACAGGATCCAACCCAGATAACGCCCTCACACATAAGATCCAACCCAGGCAACGCCCTCACACATAGCTTTCCCTTACTCCATTGTGTGTGACTCACACACAATGGAGTGAGGGAAAGCTAAAAGAAAATATGACAAACATTATGGATAGCCAACCACTTGAGCCTACCTCTAATAGTGTAAATGGAGGAGACCCATCTCTTATATATGTAAAGCAACCTTGGATTGTCACCATGATGAGTATCAGAGAGAAGAAGTCGGCACTGTCCTGATTCTCTGTTTCTCATATCCAAACATAAACCCATCAAAGGAGGACAATTTCAAACTGGCATCATAAAATAAATGGAGCAGTTTGCTAACTTGGCTGAATCAATGGCATTTCGACACACCGCCAAAGTTCGAACCATTGCCAAGTCCTTTCCTCTAGCGTTATTGTACCTTTGTTGGCAATTTCTGAAGAGGGGAAATAAAAATTCTGATTTTAAGTTGGGTGACCCAACAAAAAAACTTATGGAGGGGAGGGTGAATAGAGGATGACCCAATAAAATCACTATTTTGATTTTTGAAAACAGAAAATGCTAGGGTATGAAAACATGGAGGAAAATAGATGAGAATTCATAAGGAAAGAAAATGTGGGGGCGACCTGGTTCAAAATATCAAATTCAATAAATCAATTTTAGATATTTGTTCAAACATTTAATATATACTTCTACTGTATAAGACTGAAGAATCTAAATATATTTAAAAAAACCAATCTCAATTACTTGGTATTTTCCAAGGTATAAGTTTATAACCAAACATTAAAAATAATTTTCTTTCATTTTTCCTCCGGACATAGCCTTTGACTATTGCCTATTGGAAGAATATGAAAAAAGAAAGGACACATTTGGAAATTGGGAAATACTAGGGGAAGAAAATAGGTGGGAAACAAAATAAATATTGGAAGGAAGGTAGGTAACTTACAGGAGCATTAAAGATTGTCTCAAAATCAATATATTTGTAATTTGTTCAATATCAATTTATTGATCTATTTGTATAATAATACACTCCATAAAGACTAAGGAATCCAAATATTTGTGAAAAAGAATTAAAACTGATCAATTTCCACTTTCATTTGCATTCAAAGATAAAACCAAACATAAAATTAACGTTCCTTAGTAGTGGTTTTCCTTACTATAGGTCTATAACATTTTCAGGATCCAAACATATCCCAAGAAATGACAGAGATTGATTACATTGCATTGTTGCTTTTCCAATAATAATGTAAAAACGGCGTGGTTGAGATTTATGCACAAAAAAAAGAGAAATAACCTAAGCCATATCCTTAATACTAAATGGAAATGAAAGTTTTATGAGGCTAAATAAGGGAATTTGTCAAAGTTCTAAGAAGTAACTTATTAAGTTGACAGGTTAAAGAAAACAGTACCTATCATCAAAGAAATCAGCAAAATCATCAATAATAACTGAAACAGGGATTTCATCGTGAACATGAAATGCAGCGAAGTATTTCTTAATCCCTTCTTCATTATCTATATACCTACGAGAAGATCAATTCAGAACACTCATCAGTCTATATCTGTAGTTTAAGTGTTTCTGTAAAATTAAATGAATAAAGTCCTTACTTCATGTGAATACGCTGAAAAATATCGGAAGAAGGTTCGACGCCCTGAGAGAGAAATGGGGGTTTTGCTTCTAACTTCTGACGGTTGGAAATGAACACAACGGCGGAGCCGCTCCCCATGGCGGCGTTCAATGCATATTGGAACAACAAAGAGGTTTTTCCTCTGCGTAAAATAAAGTCAGATTTGAGATCGAAGCTCAAGCTATGTTGCAGACAGGGGTGAGACAGGTAATATCTTTGGACAGAAACAATAAGAAATTGGACGGTACGAGGAAGGAGGGCCGGAAAGAAGAATGACAGAGTCGCTGCGGTCCCGGCAGCTCCTATTGTTATCTAATCTCCTATTGTTATCTGGATTAGGGAGGTGGAAGAATCTTTCCACCATCTTCCCTGCACTCACTGTGCCAATGGCTTTACATACCAAAATTACCAATGTCCAATTCACAATTCAGGACCGTTTAACAACCCTTAGATAGGTGAATTACTACTTTTTTTTAAGAGATAAGAGTTAGATTCCTACTCGAAGTTGCATAAAAAGGTCAAATAAGTTCTTAATGTCCGGCCGTCGCCATTTGAGGCGGTTCCCGGTGGAATTTTTTGATGAAATTGTTTGTGCATCTCATTCATTAAGTCTGGTTTACTCATACCAAATTTCAGCTAAAAACTTCAATCGAGAAGACATTCAAATGAATTCGTGAAAATAAATGCTCTTTTAACTGTGCAGTTATCTTTAAGAATTCATTTGAATGCCTTCCCGGTTGAATATTTAGTTGAAATTTGGTATGAGTAAAGTAGACTTAATGAATAAGATGTTCAAAAACTTTCATCAAAAAATTCCACCTATAACCGCCCCAAATGGCGATGGCCGGACAAAGCCTCCAATATAAGGACTTATTTGACCCTTTTTATGCAACTTCAAGTACCAATCTGACCCTTACCTTTTTTTTAATGGTCAGATGACTTAAATTGCTATTAAAGCATTCAGATAGGCGGTGAAACGATAAAAGGATCACATGCAATCGTCGGCCCCGAACCAAACATAAAGTCAATCGCTTTCAAAAAAGCAATATAACTCGCTGATCCTATAACGGGCATAAATGAGCCAACCACGGTTAAAGCATGCCTCCCATCACCCAATCCTAATGCAAGAGTCTTACACCAATAAAAATAACCAACAGAAAATAAACAGACTGGTCATAAAAAAATAAAAATCAAGCAAACAGTAAAATTATAAAACTGCTTCCAAATTCTAACTTCTCCGGTACTCCATGGCGGCAGTTCAGGAGGGGGACGATCCAACAATACTATAGCTTCTTCCGCTCCTTGCCTCCAGTCCAGATCTGTTCCAACACCTAGCCCCACGCTTCGTCCATGCCCTTCTGATCTCAACCATGAACGATATCCTCGAAACTCTCCCCCTGCTGCTAGGGGTACACAACCTTTGGCCGCCATATAGGCGCTGCAGTCTGCCAAATAAGAGAGCCTCACGAAAGGCGGACGATAGCCGCATTTTGTCAATGACGAAAATGGAGAAAACAACCCCTAAGCCTAGGAGAGACGACCACTGCTTCCTTTGCCTATGCCGCCGAAACTTCGATCGACACTCCGAACCCCACGGCGGCAAAAGCTACTTGCAATACGCGAGAACCATAGGTGAATTACTAAAAAAGTTATTTTTTAATCTAGATGTTTAAAGTGTCGTTTACTAAATATATCACTTTCAGGTATTAGTTAAGCAGTAGTTAAATCTTTTCCAGTTTCCGCATTTAACCTTTCCCTACCCGTGCCCTTACACTTTAATGTTACCACTACCCCTAACCCTTCCTCTACCCTATTCCTGCCTACCCCGCACCTACCGTACCTAGACCCCACCTACCCCCTACCCTACCAATCACCCGACCATACCCCTACCCCGAGCCCTGTACTCGTACCCCAAACTCCCTACACCTTCCCCTACCCTACCTGTACGATGTGTACCCTTAGCCTCACCACATACCCTACCCCTAACCCCCACTCTACTCTACCATATCCCAATCCGTACTCGTACCACTAACCTTTTACCTCAACCACTAGCCACTTACAACCATCCCTACACGTCCCTGATCGTTACCCCTATCTAGGGATGGACCCGGGCCGGTCCGGTTCCGGTTCCGGGCCGGGCCCGGGCGGGCTTTTTTTCGGGTTACATGGGCCCGGAACCGGCCCGGGTTGATACCGGGTCCGGGCCTAACCGGGCCGGGCCCGGTTCAATGTTTTTTTTTTTTTGACTTTCTTGTTATCTCCCTACCCCCCCTCACCCCCACGCCCCAAACCTCCCTAAAACACCCAGCCCTACCCTAGGAAAAGAAAAAAAATTGAAAAAACCAAAAAAAAAAAAAAAAAATGAACCGGGCCCGGACCGAACCGCCCGGGCCGGTTCAACAAAAATAGGGCCCGGAACCGGCCCGCCCGACCCGCCAACACGGGCTAAAAGCCCGGAACCGGCCAACCGGGCCCGGTCCGGTCCGGGCCCGCACAGTAGCGGGCCGGTCCGGTTCCGGGCCGGTTCGGCCCGGCCCAGTCCATCCCTACCCCTATCCCATGCCCCTGACCCGTGTCCCCTACTCCCTACCCCTTGCTCAATCACCCAAGTAAGACGATCATCATTTAAAAATGCCTCCTTAATTCATTGTTGACTTGAATTCAGAACCTTTCAAATAATTAGGATGTTAAGTATGAGAAATGATCTATTATAACCATTCTTGTCCTCTAACGGACGTTAAATACTTTCATTAATGAGAAGATGTCTTATACAAGTTATACACGTAAGTATTTTCTCATACGATGAACAATACATCTAATTATCTAAAGACGTGAGTCACCTAAAAAGTCTCATATTTGGACACATGCCAAGAATGTTCAGGAGGGAGATATAAGTAAAAAATGCATTTATTCAATTTTAGAGGGAGGACTTGAAATATGTAGTAGAATGAAGAAGATGGAGACTAGATTTATGTGATAGATATATATTAATAAAAAGTTTTAAATTATTTCTTCATAATGTTGAAAATTTATGAGTGAATTTATAAGGTTTTATCAAACTCCTATTTATAGTGGTTGAGCTTGATGATTAGTCATAAAAAGGATGAATCTAAGGATTTGGTGGCAATAACAGATTGAGCCATCTATTCTTTCTAGGTTACAAAGATTAGGAGTAGCTTGATGTCCTAATGATAAGGATGAACAATTCACATTTATCATTTTCTAGATTTTACAACAAAATAGAAGTTTTTATTTGTATGGGCAGTTTTTTGTTTAACGTTATATCCCCAATTTAATTGTCAGTCTCATTGTTTGTTAAGATCGACATGATTCAATTTTATGAGGAAATATGATACTTAAATGATGATACTTAAATGAAGATGTAAATAAACAAGACCATGTCGAAAAGAAATCATGCTTTTTCAAAATAGATATTTTAAAATAAATAAGATTGTACTCCACTACTCATTATATATTGTTTTATTAAAATATTAACTACCCTAATGTGAATTTTGATGTTCAATTGTAAGATACATTGGACTAAATTTGACCTAGTACCTCCTTCCGACTAAATAAGTAAAATAATTTAAATATATTTTGAAAAATAATTTTGATGAGAATGTAATACGTAGTATAATTATTGATGAAAACTATGATGTTATAGATGTATTATTTATAATATTTGTGTTGGGTTAATGGCCCAATTAGAGGATCGACCCATATAACCTCTATATGGACGAACGACCAAGCCCAATGGGTCTCTGTGGGTAGTGACAAACGTCTCCACAGCCCGTAGCAGTTACTCCTCCAGGCACAAGGCATATAAGATGAACGTCGTCACACCTTGTCTTGGGCCACAGGAGGTAAAGCCCAAGGCTAACCAACGGACTTTTACATAATTAAGGGCCAGAAGACGTACGGCCTGCAACCCTTTGCAGATATTACCAAAGGCAATTCCAGGTTCAAGAGGACGCTCGTCTCCATGAATAGGCGGGAAACTAAGATCTTGGCGGGAAGCGCATTTAATGCTGGGGATTTGGTGGTTGGGGCTTCATCCATCCACCGCTCTCCACATCAACATATTCAACTACCCCTTGGTAGTATAAATAGTACTCCCTCCGTCCCCCTAAGTTTGTCCCGTTTTACCTTTTTCGTTCGTCTCATTAAGTTTGTCTCATACCATATTTGGTTTTATTTGGGTGGTTACAATTCGTTATTACTTTATTCACACTTTATCAATTCAATACCAACCACACAATTTCACTTTTTCTTAAAAGTTGTGCCACATCCCTTTGTCCCAAACATAGTGGGACGGAGGTAGTAGCATTTATTTCATTGTAAAGGGTTGACAATTTACCCGCCTTAGCGTTCTAGCATTCATTCAGCTCTTAGCTTATTCTCGCAGCTCTTCTACTCGAGTGTGAGACGTACGGCCGTTGGCCTTAGCATAGTGCAATGTAACGGGGAGTTATTAGATCTTAATAATACTCGGCTCACTATTGCATACATTTCTGAGCCCATCTTACTTGCTTGCATTTCATATCCACACACACTTCCATTGGAAATCCTTGGACTTACGTGTCCCGACGAGTTGAAGGAATAAACCTCAATAATTTGGTAACTAAATTATCATTTAAGAATACTAATTATTTCCTAAAATAGAAATTACAACATTTAACTGGGGTGCTAAAAAAAAGAAATGAGAATTTTAAGTTGGGACGGAGAGATATATGTTAACTAGTTCAACACACTATTATTTTCTAGTAAGAAAGAAAATAATGTAAGCCAAATTTTTCAAAAAAGAAAAAAAGAAATCTGTATTACGAAGTACAAAATACTATTCTTATTTCATCAATTCAGTAACACTCACATAAATCCAGCCTCCTATGTAATCCGCTTTCTCTTTCTCTCCGTGCCGTCCATATTAATAAATCAGGGTGTGACTAGGGATGGACTGGGTCTGGGGAGTTCGACCCGGGACCGGCACTCTTTGCACCTGCCCAGTACCCGGTGCAACGTAGAAATGGGACAGGCTCGAGCCTGATATTTTGGGACCAAACCGGTCGGGCCCAGTTCCGGTTCCAACCGATATATTTTTAAAATTTGTTTTCTTTTTAATTAGAGAGTGGGTACCAGCCCGAGACTGGTATTGTTTGGACCCGGACCGGAACCGGCACCAGACCAAACCGGCAGTATCAGGCTTCAATTATTTAGAATCGGGACTGACCCAGACCAACCCCGCTCCAAGCCTAGGTGTGACACCCCCAACATAGGTGTCATCCTCTTACTTTAGGACCCCTAAATTTGTGAGTTGTAGCAAATTTAAGGTAAAAAGTTTAGAAATGTTCTTTTCATCTCATGGATTGCAATCAGTTTGCAACCAGTCTTAAGATACTTGTGTGTACTTAAATTGCCATATTTTTCGTTTATTAAA